TTTACCAATCTTTGGTCATTTTTATATTTTAAAAAAAAAACTATTTTACTTTTTTGTCTGACCATGTGGGTTTCAATCCACCATTGACCACATGGTGTGAATGGGTTGAGGCCTAGTTTCCATTTGCATAGGAAAAGACTTTTCACTAAACCTGTTCACCAGGTTTTTATTGCTGGTTACTTGACCCTGTTTGTTTGTGTAAAAATTTACATTTGTTTGGCATTCAAGGATTTGTTTAGTTCAAAAGATATCTGGACTAAACTGATTAAATTAGTAGTTAAGAAAAAGATAAGTTTTGTAAAGCAGATTGAGCGAATAATAGATTTATGTGAGCGTATACATAGAATGTTAGTATGGAGATATATATATATATATATATATGAGATTATGACTCATGAAGGAAAGACCACTTTTTTTTTATTTAACAGCTGTGTGAACATGTAGTGTACATCCTAGTCAAAACAGTGAAGCACATGTTTGGGGGATGGTTGGTGATGTAAGAGACCATCCTTTTCAGCTACAGCTGGGGGAGAATTTGTCCATGTTGGGGGCGGGTAGTCTTACCTGTGTGAGAAAATAAACTGCATAGTAAAGGATGCATTGTTTTGTAAATGTAATTGCCTAAACTAATCAATTTGTGGAGTGTTTTTCAGCTTTCAAATCCAGGACTAAGGAATTACAGGATATGTGTTCAGGAACTGGTAACAAATGAACAGAAAAAATTGTAAAATAATCCCTTGTTGTCCTATTTGGTCTGGTTAGAATATTTTAACAAGTTAGCATTTTTAACAAAGTAAGTGTATGGGCTCAGATTGAGATTTATATTCTTTTAGAAGCCATCTCTATAACTGATTTTAATATTTCCATCCTATGAATATACGTGTCCGGAGAAGGGGGAGCATACCCAATAGTTGTTGTGCAGTTCTATCCTGTATTTGAAATCCTGTATTACTTATAAGTAGCCTTTTGTAACTTATTAGTAATAGTTTATATATATTGCTCTGGGAAAGGGATATGCAAAATCTCTGAGAGACCAGGAAATATATAAAATAAGGACGTATTACACTAGTGGTAGGGTGGCCTATCATGACCATAGAGACCCTTGGTGACTAGTTTTCGTTGTATATTGACTGGGAAGGGGATAAGCTATTTAATAGAAATTCCTGAGAGACCCGGAAATATACAATAAGTGATACGTGAGTGTACTGGTTAAATTGCAGACATATTGGCCCATAACCTTTAATCAAGCCGGAAAAGAGGTTGCTGTATGTTTGCAACTCTATAATTTTGAGGGGGGGGTCACCCCCATGCGGAAAGCCACTACCACCACAGGGTGGATAGTTGTGCAGGCCCTTAGCCGCGAGGTGCAGACATGTCCGTGGAAAGGCTAAAAATTAATAGGGACTCACTCATAGCTGTCAGAAGTGTTGCACTTTGAGACATATTGACCTATAGTCTTTCATCAGAGGCGGAAGAGGTGTTGTGGTTCACTCCTCTATAATTTATCCAAAGGGTGGAGAGTTATTAAGCATGTTTAAGTTGGCTAGAAATGTGTTTTATGTACTCCTCAATTGCTGCAAAGAAGATGCAGAAAGCAGCTATTAGCTGATTGTTTATTTTAAGAGCAGAGTAGAAAATTAAGAAAGTTACCTTGTTGAACAAATTGTTTCTAAAATGAAAAGTTGAAGGAATGTATTTATATGTGTATATATGTATATTTGCTAAGTAAAGGATCTGGCAGTATACGCTATAAGTGACTAGGAAAAGTAATCCTGATCTGTTTTCTTACCTTTTTCAGATATAGCAGAAACCAGGGGTGGACATTGGATCACAGATAGAATACCAGATGGAGACCAGTGTTTAAATGTTGACCTATGATTAGCTATTGAATGTGTTTTACAATAACAAAATATTCTGTGTTCAACAGGCGCTTAAAACAGATTATAAGTGCTCTTTTTTGATCCAGCAGCTCTCACACAAAAAATAGGAATTCTCCAATCCTATTGTGAATAGAATGTGAAACAATACACTATTTGCACAACCAGTGTGTAATAGTGAAAATGTGTAGCGCTATAATATTAACTTACTCCCCAGAGTTCTTAGGGGTGTAGAGAGTATTGTGTAGGTAGTCCAGAGCCTATTAGGAATTTGGCTCAAATCTCTCTTGTCTTGTATCTTTAAGGTTGCATACACCCCTTGAGTCCAAATGGAATATACTCCTCAAAAACAAAGAGAGGGAGAACAGGGAAAACTCGCCCTGGTGTTGAGATCCTTAAAACAGCAATATATAAACATGCATATAATGGTGAAGGTTGCTTCTCACCTGAATTAGAGCCTATGACTTGGCTCTAAGTAAATAGGCATATGAGTCCTTTTGGGATGACTCCTTCCCTCTTTAGCAGGATGTAAGATGCACCAAATATACGTGTATTGAATAAAAGGTAATATTTATTACATTCACTTTAAAATAAATATGATACATACAGTATATAGGTGAGTCCAAAACGCGTTTCGCCGATTCCGTTCGGCTTTCTCAATTGGTAATTTCCATCCTGTCTAGTTCCTGGTTAAAATCCCCGCCTTCCGTCCTGATTGGTGGCCACAGATCGGACGTCAACCAATCACGGACGTCCTTGCAGGGGAGGGTCTAATAATCCAGCTGTAATGCTATATCCCTTGACGGTGACGTCATCGCGCACGTGCGTGTAATCGCGCGGGTGACGTCACTTCCGGGAATGTGAAAAAGTAGTATTTGCTCCGGTCTCTCTTCTTTTAGCTCCGCTGACGTCACTTCCCATTTCGAAAGATTGCAAAAGGTGTCCCAACTCCTCCTCCAGTTCATTCTAACAAATTCATTTTGATTAATGGCAGGAAGTACTGGCATTCACAGTTCAGTCCAATCCAGCAAATTATTGGTAAAAAGAGTATTGGTACTCAAAGTAGTGACCACAGTTTTGTTTCAAATCTTCAGTCCTGAGGCAAATATGCTCACATTTGAGCATTTAAACATAAACAATAAAGTGCATTAATTAGTTTAAATTCCTAATAGGCTCTGGACTACCTACACAATACTTTCTACACCCCTAAGAACTCTGGGGAGTAAGTTAATATTATAGCGCTACACATTTTCACTATTACACACTGGTTGTGCAAATAGTGTATTGTTTCACATTGAATGTGTTTTATTTTATTGTTTCTATTAAACATGTCTATGCTATGATTTTGTGCATACTATTCTCTTATTTTTAATGATTGTATTGCAATTAAAAACGTTATGTATTGTTGTTGTATGCATGTATGTATGTCTGTATGCTTGCCTGGGGGGGTAAGGGGGAATTGACCCATAGGGGCCAGGGGGTATTTGTGTAATCTGAACTGGGGTGGGAGGGCTCCAACGAGGGAACCCCATTGTCCAGTAGGTGCTTGATTTGTGTCTCTGTAAAGTGCGTTGAGTGGTTGCAGTGCAAAAAAACTGAAGAGTGATAAGAGAAAGTAGGCATTTAGGGTTATCTATACATGTTTAAATAGAAGGGTGGGAAGTTGGAATTTATTTTGTTTTGGTGGGTGTTTATGTTAAATTGGTTAAATACAACAGTGATATTGTGTTTATCTGTGAATCAGGAGTGCGCTGGATGTGAAGAGAGAATTCTCAGGAGGTGTATAGGTATTTACTTAACGCCATAGGGTAAATATAGTTAAGACACCACAATCAAATAATACTTGTGATAATTGGCACAAAGTCACCTGCCATTTATGTTTGTGTACGTCATTGCCTGTGTTTTCATTCAAGAACTTTCCAGCAAAGAGCTTTTTATTGCAACTCATGAACCAGAAGAAGCAGCAGCTCTGGACATTCTATACTCAATTGTTAAAGAAAAATATTGCAGCTGAGAGTGATGAGAGTAGGGACAAAATGCATCAGGAGCAGGAAACTGTGTTACGTCAAGGTGGTAAACGGAATGTGACCACAATCTCAAAATGTGCCATCTCTCAGAGAAGTTTTTAATTTGATTTTAGAAAATAAGGCACATGAATTATCACACAGAGCCAATATGCATGGTTTCCCAATACTAAAATATAACTGGGATAAATGGGAAGAAAAAATCAAAACAGTTTATGGTCTTTGATATATTTATTGTTAAAGTGCATTGTTGTAAAACATTTTTCTTTTTGCCATATACTTTAATATGTTTATTTCATTGATGGATGGATACCCCTTCCCATTTCCAAGTTAACCCTCCTTTCCTACCCCTAATACAATGTTTGTATTATTATCATTTGTTATACAAAAAAAACAAAAAAAAAACTTTAATAAAAATTATTTGAAAAGGAATGTGACCACAAAACCCACAAAAGTCCCTGAACACATGAACTGTTCTTATGAGAAGAAATACTGAAGCTGAGAGTGATGGGAGTAGGTTAAGTACAAAACCATACGTCCTTGTTTGCTCAAATTATTTCATTCATCCCTCTCTACATGTGTATGTTCTATGAGACTGTCCAAGAAGAGAGTATCCAGTTTCCAGAACTAATGTTTGTGAAAATGCCAGGCACACAGACCAGCGATAGGCTACAGAAAACGAGCTCCAGTGACTGTCCGTCTGTGTCATGATTCACAGGTGTTATAGGTTGGTCATGTCTAATGCTATATTAAGCTCCAAAACACATCCTCACATGAACACAATATCATTGGTTAAACTAATAAACATGGTTTGAGTTGTTCATTATTATAAGGGTGGGTATGTGCCTACTTTGGGCCAAGGTTTCCCAACTGGTAATGCATGTGCTCAATGGTGAACATTTGAATAAGCAATAAAGTGTTATAATTAACAGGTAAATGGGTATCGTTTAAAATGGGGAAGATTCAAAATGTACTGGTTTTATAAATGCTTGTTTTATGACATAAGTCAAAGGGTGGTTTGTAATGGTATTTATTAATTAATGACTTTACATCATAAAGAAAGCATATTTAGTGTAATGCTTTGGAGGCGCCACTAGGGGCAGTGTGTAGGAAGATATGTGCTTCTGGCAGTGACATCACAGGCCAGCCTACTTAGGAATACACTTAATAAAAAACAGATGTAGGAGAAACTCTGTCTCTTTGCCTGTACCTGACTGAACCTAAGATGTAGTACCAGCTCTGACTTAACCCCAGCCAAAGGGCTGGGGCCTTGTAAGTAATATGAATCCATTGTAACATTTAGCAACCGATAGCCTTTTGTAAGTAACATGTTGTAGTTTTGTATTGTATAATTATTGTGGTAAATTGACATTCTGCTAGCATAAATTGACATTCTGCTAGCATCTGTTTATTTATTATAGTTATATTAAATATACATTTAATATTACAACGTTTTGTGTATTTTCTATCCACATATTCGACCATAATACCATGAACTATAAAAATATTAATGTTGTTCCGTATTGCTTAATTATTATGTATTAAGAGATTAATATTCATATTTAAGTCACAACCACAACATCCGTGGTGTCAAAAAAGAGCTTGCCATCCGGCTGCACCAAAACCAGCTCTTCTTCCACATCACCCACATGCTTGGCTCACCCAGAAAGGTCTCCTTCACAAAGGAGTTGGGACCCCAAGTCCCGTGATTAGAATGGGAATCTTCTGCTTGCCACTAATCAAGAAACGATAGTAATGCTAGGACTTCCTACTCCTCGTCCGAGGAAGCGTAATAAGTAGACATGTGCAATTAGTTTCGGTCCGAATGCGAATTTGGACGAATTTCTGGCAATTCTGACATTCGGGTACTTCCTAATGTCCGAATAGCTGAATTGCCGAAGTTCTGAAATTGCCAAATTGCCAAAGTGTCGAAGTTCCAAAGTGTCAAAGTGTCGAAGTTCCGAAGCACAGTATTGCCTAAGTACAAATATACTTACCCAGTGGAAGAATGAAGAATGTTACACTGTATACAAGTTTAAATAAAAAGTATACAAACATAGCCAGGATTCAGCTGAAAGCATTTGCAACACTTACAACAATCAAGTAACACACATTCATATAAAATGTAAGTTACTTAGCCTGTCAATGGAATGACAGGAATGAATAGGTAGATAACTCCCTAATCCCCACGGTAGAATAAGGGGGGGGACCTAATGTACTCCCCCCTTGCCCCCATCCCTGAGAGGTGGATGGGGCCCTAAATTAGAATAAGGGGGGGACCTAATGTCCTCCCCCTGGCCCCCACCCCTGAGCAGTGGGTAGGGGCCCTAACTACGAATAAGGGGGGACACACCTAATGTCCTACCCCCTGAGCGGTTGGTGGGGGCCCTAAATTAGAATAAGGGGGGACATAATGTCCTCCCCCCTGGCTCCCACCCCTGAGTGGTGGGTGGGGGCCCTAAATACCAATAAGGGGGGGACCTAATGTGTTCCCCCTGGCCTCCATCCCTGAGTGATGGGTGGGGGACCTAAATACCAATAAGGGGGGGACCTAATGTCCTCCCCCCTGGCCTCTTATCTTCACCCATGGAGGGCTCCGCGCAGACTGAGCTCTGCAGGGCGGGGGAAGGCTTATAAAGCCTTGCCCCGCCTTGCAATTAGGCTCAGAGCACTCTGGTTGGTTGGTTTAAGCCATCCAATCAGAGTGCTCTGACAGGTAAATGAAGAGACTGACCGGTAAATCCACCCAATCAGAGTGCTCTGTGTCATTTTACACAGCTTAGGAAAGTTCTTTGGAATTTTCCCACGTTGTGTAATTTGACTCATAACAACACTCTGATTGGTGGATTGAAAGTAACATTAGGTCCCCCCCTTATTCTAATTTTCTCGCTCAGGGGTTGGGGCCAGGGTGGAGGACATTAGGTCCCCCCTCTCTTATTGGCATTTAGGCCCCCCACCCACCACTCAGGGGTAGGGGCCGGGGGGAGGACATTAGGTCTCCCCCTTATTCTAATTTAGGGCCCCCACCCGCCGCTCAGGGGGGAGGACAATAGGTTCCCCCCCTTATTCTAATTTAGGGCCTCCACCCGCTGCTCAGGGGTGGGGTCAGGGGGAGGACAATAGGGGGGAGGACACAGGGGTGGGAGCCACTGGCTGCTCACTATTTAATACACATGCCCCTACTTGCGGTATAGCAAGTAGGGGCATAATTTACTAATATTACATAATTTTTACTTAGTATTAGTAAATTTGGCTGAAAGACCAATTTAGGTCTTTCAGCCTTTTGGTAGATAACTCCCCAGTACCATGGGAATTAGAGAGTTATCTACTAAGCGGCTGCAAGAGAAGTCCTGAAGTTCCGAAGACCCGAAATGCTGAAGTTCCGAAATTCCTAAGTAACGAAGTGCAGAACCAAACCGACAAAGTCCCGAATTTCAGAATGCCGAACCGAACCGAAAATTTTCCCCATGCACATGCCTAGTAATAAGTTGGAGGGTTTACAGGCAGTGTACGTTTTCCCTTCTTTAGGGGAGCTTTACCCTCGTCAGGTTTTGATTTTTGACCCTTTATTGACCCTTAGCCTATACAGCTCTTTGTTGGGAGCGTTTAGCGGGCGCTTTGGTTGCGTCTTGAGTGGCTGGAATGCCTTGGCTGAGGCGTTCTCCACAGAAGCGGTAACTGCAGCATTTATTACTGCCTGAAGGTCTGAGGGCATCTGAGTCTTCCATTATTAACACCCAGTATACTGGGGGCTCACCTAATAGATTTGTGAGTAAATAGGCAAATTGGTAGAAGAATTGGTAGAAGAAGGGACTGCTAGAGGTTATGGTGGTCAAGAATGCGACACATAGTAATGTATTTAGAGGCAACACTGGTGGTCACCCAGGTAAAAGGAGACTGCAAGCACAGCTCCACTCAGCAGCGGTTACTAGGTATGAACCTGACCGGCTGAACCACCCCTAGGTTAATACTAACCATAACAGGTCCCTGTAACAGGTGCCTGTAACAGGCAAGTTGAACAGAAACCAATTTATGCACCGATTCCAATATATATATCTATAATAACTTGTAATAATAAAATCTCCAGGAATATATCCGTGGCACAGACAGGCCAATCATAGGAGCTGTAACAGTGACAGACAGATCACCCCCAGTAATATTAGTATAGACGTATTCCAGTAAATGCAACAGCTAGCATAAGCTAGAGTACATTTATAAATCAGGGGCTCACCCCAGTTTAATTGCTAGCAACCATCAAGGGTTAAATGGCCACTGCGGATCTCGCGAGAAAATGTGTTTGCGGGAAATCGAACGGTCGCTTGAAATAAAGCGAACAGAGAAAGAACAGTAATACAGAAAAAAACTGAATGGAGCACAAAACAGACACAGAAAACTTGCGAATGTACTAAAAACCCAAAGGGAAACTACCGAACGCTGAGGATGTGCGTTTGGGAGTAGAATAGTCCAAAGGGTCGACCAGGAAAGAATACAAACCACCGAACGTGCATTGGTTTGAATATGTGTTTGGTAGATTGAAGACGAAAAACAGGTGTACATGAACGCACAAACCTGTGCGAACGCCTAATAGAAAATACAAACTGCCAAACACGCTTTGATATCCGCGTTTAAATCCCGCGAACGCAGAAGCCTGATAGGCGGTAAATTTCCACAGCACCACACGCTCTCCCTGAAGAGAGCATGTGGCGGTGGGAGAGTGCCTGTGGAGTCGTGAACGTAGCCACAAGGAGAACATTTTATGAGAGTGGCTCACCCTCTAATAATTAAATTAGTATCAATATCAGTATTGGACTAAGTTTGTGAGAGGGGCTAACCCTCTAATAATGAAATTAGTATTATATACGGACATAAAATGTAAGATAAACAAAAAACTGTCAGTAAGCAGTATATATATCAATATTGGGCTGAGTTTATGAGATGGGCTCATCCTCTAATAATGGAATCAGTATCATGTATTGACATAAACTGTAAGATAAACAAAAAACTAACAGGAAATAAAGTAGGTACACAGACATCCCAAGTCTATACCCTGCAAAACAAAACCAGCATCCCCACTATCAGATAAAACCCTACATAGATACATATACAGTAAGAAAAGAAAGAAATAAATCAAGTAAATAAATACAATTAAGTAAATATAACAAGACCAGCCAACAAAGTGTAGACACACAATATTCTGACCTGACTTGTGATGGAGCAGCAAAGAAAGAGGAAGTGACTCAGTGGAAGGCGTATCTTATACTCTCTGCCTGTCTCTGGTTGGTTGCTTTTTTTCTCTATACGTATGTCTTTGCTTCTATTGAGTAGAAAAGGAAGATTATGCAAAATATGAAGCCTCCTGTCATGTGATAGAATTTCTGGGCATATTCTACACTTGTTTTATTCCAGAGAATTTATTTTTTGGGGGTCAACATACATTTCAGTGATTTATCTTTGTATGTCCCAAAAATGCATGTATTTTTTTCTGTAAACATTGCTTTATCAGAATAGATAGCTTACTAGAAGTGGGGAACTTCTAGAAATTTAAACTGGACTATGATCGACCACATTTAAACAAATGTAAAAACACAACTGAAAACTACTTGTCTCCCTACCATGGGAATGCTCAAGGAGATTCCTAGGACAATACAAGTACAGTGCGCTACATAGTGTCTGGTCCTTGTTTTTGTGAAGGGGATGGATCTAAATAGCTTACCATGTCCTGACCTAAACGTTTGAGTATGCATATTAAAGACCTTAAAGAAATGTGGGGTGCTGCATTAATGGCAAACAAACCATTATACCGATTACATATTTGCTCCAATTAATGTAATTGTATAATGTATATAACACACATCCAGTGAGCAAATGTGTCCTTAAGGGGTTAAAGACCCGGAGGCTCCTATTATGTTTGTGACGAAGTGCCCTTCGCCACTGAGATAGCAAAACCCTGGACAGCAGCCAGTGAATTGCAAATTGGCCTGACAGCGCTGGGAGGGCGCTGATTTCATAAAGGTAGTAAAGGAGCAGCTGGTCTTGTATGGCCCAAACCCTTCAAATGAGGTGGTCCATCAAGTGATGCACCAGTTGAGTGCTGACAACCAAGCAGCACGGGACTTTGAGTACCAACTGTGGAGTTTGGGGATATGGACACCCCGTCTCCAGCGACAGAGTGAGTTACAGGGATCGGAGAGCATCGACCTCCCTCCCCAGCAGCAGCCTGAGTTACAGGGAGAGGAGAGCAGCGACCTCCCTCCCCAGCGGCAGTGCACCGTGCAGAGGGAAGATACATATGTTACAAACTGCTATTTGTAACTGGCCCTTTAAATGGCAAATTGCCCTGCTTCCCTTGGTTGTGGAGAAGCCTAGTTGCCAGCCTCCTTCCACATGACTATGGCCCCTGGGAGACTGTGAAAACGTATGCACTTTTATTTGGTGTGTATGGCCCTTTAAGACAGTCGGTGGGCATATTGGGGCTTATGGACTCTTTATGGGACTGGTGCTGGCCCTTTAAGCACCTTTTTGGGGCATCAGGAAGATTGGGTCACTGCCCCTTTAAGACGGTGTCCCCAGACTTGTTTGGGACACTGCCCCTTTAAGACGGTGTCCCCTGTGTCCCCAGACCTGGTTCAAACCCTTTGTGCCTAGCTATTTCCCACTTGGTTCAGTAAATGGGGCTAACTGAACCAAGTACCACACAGGCAGACCACCCAGATGTGGAAGTGTGCAGGCAATTTACCTCCCAGAAGCTGCGGTTAACCGCAGCTTAATTGACAATGCTGGGTGGCCTTTGTTCGTTTGCCGAACACGTGGCGGCGGCCATCTTTGTTAATGCGAACGAGGTCAGCGGTATGTGTAGCCAAATTCATGGAACTAAAATCGGCTACACATTTCCGCGAACACCGCTGAACTCTACCTTCTCCCATACTGATTTTACAGCTGCAGAGACTAAGTCCCATTCGGCGATGGGACTTAGTCGTTTTTTCAGCCTGAAATAGACCGACCGCACAGCCCAAATCTATGGAACTGTTTTGGGCAGGAAAATGTGCTTGTGGTCGGTCATAAAGGGACCTCCAGCTAACTTTTTAACCCCTGGATGGATTTGGCTGATTTTTGGTTATGTTTATGTTCAGTGTGCTGATTAATAATATGTAATTTTTATGAAGATTGGATGTGTAGTTTTAAAGTTACAGTGTATGGATAAAAACTGTATTTTTACTGCCTGTTTTAATTATGTTAAATCATTGTGCAACATGTATATATCACAGGCAGAGGGGAGGATTTTTGTGTGTAATTGCTGGGAGTGTTTCTGTAATGTACATTTATTATTGGTTGTTGTGTAAAACCCTGTGTGGTCCTATCTCAGGGAAACCTGCATAAAAGAAGGTTCTTTGTGTGCCAATAAACAGAATGACTTGACGCTCTAACTTGCAGCCTTGACTCATGTTTGTAGGGGACAGCTATAATCACTACAGGGATTGCTATGCTCTTCATACTCCCTTAGCTACTGAGCTCTTGTTCCTGATCCTGCTTCGCTCTACAGAAGGAAGAGATTCACCTACTGGAACTGGGAGCCTGGTCGTAGGTCCAGGGTGGATAGCAGACGGCGAGATCCTAGCCCAGCAGCGGCGGTTCGTGAGTCTGCAGTACTTATGGTGTCTACGGTTCTGATGGTCCTTTGGTGAGCGCTAGGAGCATCCTTTCTACGGTCCAACTTCCAGCCAGCCTGGAGGCAATCGTAACATTTTATAGAAGTTATGTATTTTAATGTAAAATGTAAGTTCTGCTGTACAGAGGGATAATCCACTTAGCTGTATATTCTAGTGGGAGTATCCCTCTTGTACAGCAGTGCATGGTTGGAGAAATGTATGTGTTGTTCAGTTCCCCATGTAGTCCCCTACTGTACCACCCGTGGAATGTCAGTAGGGAAACCCCTTGCATGGAGAATCCCATAAATACAGTGCCCTGTGAATAAAACCTCAGTTGACTCCCCCCCCAAAGAAATTTAAACGGATCACCTGGCACCCCAACTGGGTACCTCCGTTGAAGGATGCTCCTAGCGCTTCCTGAGGACTCCAAGCACTGCAGCAGACACCACAACCACCACAGACTCCACAACCGCTGTCGCTTGACTGGAGTCTCGCCGTCTTCCTTCCACCCTGGATGCGCTTCTGTCCTCCAGGACCATGTGGGAAAGACCTCTTCCTTCCACCCTATATGAACCTCCAGCATCCAGGAATGTGTGGTGAAGACCTCTCCTCCAAGGAGAGCGTGTCAGGAACAAGCTCTTAAAAGAGCCAAGTGATTCAAGCTCAGGGGAGTATGCAGAGCATAGCAATCCCCAATGTGATTATAACAGCTCCCTCCAATAACAAGACAAGGCTACATTTAGAGGGATCAAGAAGAACTGTCTAAACCTTTATTTCCCTTGGGAGAAGCCCATAGGGTCACAACATTAACATTGCTGTGAAAACTCAATAAAATCACAAACAGGCAAACCATAGCAGGCAACACACACTGACTTATCACAACACAATGGCACATTTTTAAAGGGGTGGGGGAGCCAATATTTAACAGAAAATATCTCATGTGTCTGCAGAATTAGCAATATGCAAATCTACCCGAATATGCAAATGAACCAGTCTTGCTATTCAGGTAGTGCATATTGCTGTTGCTACCAACAGAGGGCACTAGACAAGCTCCATAGCCAAACCCACCTAGTTGGTAGCAAACCTCAGCAGTACAGGAGAGCAGGCAATACATTACACAGTACACACACACACTATAAACAATTACATTACACACACCCTGCACCTATAATGGGTACAGGGTGACTAAAACATAAGAGAAATAAAGCAACCTACATAAATAGTCTGTCTGAAGGTAGAATAGGGGCTTTAAATCCAAATACATCAAAGAGTCATAGTCACAGGGGAGGAGGCTGGCAAGCAGGCCTCTCCAGGACCAAGTGGCGAAGGGCACTTCGTCACAATGTTATTTCAAAGCTGTGATATCAGGGCTTCTGTGAAATGCTGGATTGGGTTGAAATAGAAATTACAGAAAGTAGATTCCGGGGACCAATCAGCTGCCTTCATTATATCCTCCAAGCGACAACCAGTAAAGGAGGCTTTAGAGGCCATGGCACCACGAACTGAATGAGGAGAAAATATGGAGGTATCAATACCTGCCAATGACATGAGCCACTTGACCCAGCGGGCCAGGGTGGGAGAGGATACCGGAGCATGCGGTTTACGAAAAAAAGGAGACAAAGAGTTGGGGGTCCGGACCAGTCCGAAAGGGTGCGGTACGAGCTTCGTACGCCCGAAGACACGCTACTGGGAAAAGGAGCGGCTTCATGGGGAAAGCCGGATACAGGACTGACCGGGAGGATGATTTAGTCCTCCGTGAGATGTCAAAAACAACTCCCTCTGGGGAGAAGAAGCGGGCATTGACATCGAGTGCCCTAACATCTGATACTCTTTTGCATGAAATTAGGCACAACAGCATAACCAGTTTAGCCGAGAGTTGCTTTAAGGATAAATATTCATTGTCTGGCCACATAGTCAGGAAATTCAATACCAGGGAGACGATCGGGAGGAATAACGAGGTAAAGGTGGTCTTGCGAAGCGGATGCCGTGGAGAAGACGACAGACAAGTGGGTGTCATCCTATCGGGGTACCGTCAATGCCGGCGTGGCTGGCTGAGCGGTAGAGGTTTACCGTCAGATAAGCTTTCTCGTTATCATAAAGGGAGGTTAAGAATTGGAGGACAGTCGTTACAGGAGTTGATAGGGGACCCACACCCCGTGCCACGCACCAACCATCCCATGTGCGCCAAGCAGACTTGTAAAACTGTCTTGTGCCAGGTGCCCATGTGCCCTCGAGAAGTCGGATGGTCGATTGCAAAACTCCCTTGATTGACCAGGGTCCCTGGAAATTAGCCACGCCATGAGGCAGAGGAGATTCTGCAGGATCATGGGGTGGGGGTCTCATTGGGGTCCTGTAGGAGAGATTGGGCATCCGGGAGGAGTCGTGGGTGGTCTATAGCTGTGAGAGGTCTACTTATCTGAGGGAGCAGCAAAGAAAGAGGAAATGGTCATCGATGCTCCGCCTATTATAGGAGAAGGATGTCACTGATTGGATGGCCATGTTACTAGGCGGACATTCTCAATATGATGTTTATACCCGTTTCAAATATTTTTTTCAAATTCTGTTTATTTGCTGCTGAGGGAATTAAAGAAAGAGTGTAGCATAATAGGAGCCTCCGGGTCTTTAATAAAATTGGAAAACTACCACTCCCTGTGGTTAACTAATGTGCAGTGAGAGCAATGTCTTAGAGAAAAATGCAGGTCAGTGGAGAGTCTGTATTCATGCGAGTCGGTAAATGTGCACTACGTACACAATATACATTTTTATTTTACTCATGGATCTCAACAAACTATTTTAAGACACCAATCAGGGAAAGGTCACGTGCATTCTGGGAAATATAACATTCTATGTGCAAAAAAGAATTAATGTACGTATGCAAGTAAATGCGCTAAATAAAAATAGATTTTGGTACAGCAGGTCTGCTTTTATAGTAAAAGAAACTGGAATTTACCAACAAATTGAGAAAATAAAACCACACACAGGGGACAAGCAATACATTTTAATTATATTATTCAAGGAAGCATTAGTTTATAAATACATTAAATATAAATAAGTATTACACATTAATACATATCCATCTTCACATTCAGTGTGTGCAACTGGTAACAGTCAATTTCAGTGAGAGGTTTACCAAATTATCGGGCACGTTTTCATCTTACTTTTCGAACTGGCATCTCAAATAACCAAGATTTAACATGTGCAATAAAATATGTGCCCTAATTCAAGTAATATGGTCTATCTAGGCAGACCATTTATGGGAAAACTCTGCAAAGTAAATGGTTGTGAACTAGGTTTCCTAAATGAGCATGATTGGTAATGCAGTTCAAAAACTACTGTGCCAAAGTTTACCATCGCTGTACTACAGCGAACATATGGGTAATTTGCAATATACTGCAGGGGTGTATTCAAAATAACTGTTTTCCCTGTATGATTTATCTTTAAGATGTGTCCCTAATTACATAAACGGTATTCCCAAGTTTCTAAATCAGGGTTACACAGAATGTAGATTTCCTGCAGCTATGGGCCATGTTTGGCCGCCATTTTCTGATGAGAGTGGAGTGAACTGATGAGACTTGCTGATGCGGTGGAATATCTGACGGAGTGACTCTGTTCTAGAATATGAATATTACCAACACACTAGTGATAAGTGCCTGATGCCCTCAAATACATGATATATTACGGTGTAAAAATAAATATAGTGTGCAAAATACAACAGGTCTGAAACATTGTGTAAAAAGTATTCTGGCGATTTCACAGCACGAAAGCTATGCGACGCTCCTTGCGTTCAAAGATAAGAAGAATGTAACTGAATAAGTGTATTTGGTTAAAAAGCAGATTGTGGGCTGGATGAAAGCAAACTAGGTCTATATGTGCATTAGTTAGCCTGCTTTTCCATTTACACCTCTATTAAGGGGATGTTCTTCAATAAACAGCTATGGAAAGAAAGATTTCACTCAGCTTTAACCCTCCGAGTGCCAGACTAAAGATGAAGAAAAGCAGTGAGTCTGTATAGCATTTGTTAAATGCATAGAGCAGGGATAGGCAACCTTTGGCACTCCAGATGTTGTGTACTACATCCCCCATAATGCTCCTACACCCATAATGCTGGCAAAGCATTGTGGGAGGTGTATTCCAAAACATCTGGAGTGCCGAAGGTTGCCTATGCCTGGCATAGAGTGTCCTAATAAACATTTACGGATACCTGAAGAACTCAGATGTACCTGCAAATTTGGATATTTTGCAGAGGTTTTCTCCACTGTCTCAGAGACAAATAGAATTATTTGCTAAACAGTGAAATTTGGAGAAATGACAAGGAAATTAAAATTTTAGACCAAAACAGCGAGCTAGAATCATAGCCAGGTTGGACATTTGTTTTCCAATGTGACCATTTTGGTCTAAAACATGCAATTCTCTTGTTAGTTCTCCCCAATTGAAGGTTGTTGAAATAACTACCAGGACATTGGGGAAATCCAGGATGTTAAAGCTTAGGTCTCCAATACGGATAGAACCTCCCGAGATAACAGCACCTTTAGACTCAGTATGAAGTGAGCATTTGTTATGGAGTGTGTTGTGCTAATATACCTTAAATGTTAAAGTCGCGTAGTGTTCTTTTTGTTTTTGTAAAATGATCCATGTGCATTTATACCTTGTGATAGCCAAATGGTTAGCAAATGTATACTGATTATATAGTAAAAATTATCATGTTATATCTCTGTCCTTTGTGCTCGAACAATTCATACTTTGCAAACCGAAGCATCCGATTCTCCCAGTTTCCCCCATTCAATTCACAGTTTGAGCTGTGCGTTATGGGATCTTGTGGTGTCCACTGCAACAGCAAAAAAGGCATCTTCAAGTAACAAAATAACTGAATATACACATTCACTAGAATTTTTCACTAGCACAACATACAGACTGAATTGTATTGCCTGTCTGAAGGAGAGTTTGTAATCCACAGAACCCTGCCTTAAAGTCACTTATCAAGGCGGCAGACAAGGAAGGGTTTTTATCATGTCTGCCTTATCTCAAAGAGCTGACATGGACTCTACTGCAGCATTCTGAGAGGGTAGAAGGGGAGCAAGTCTCTAAGACTGCTGGTAGGTTTCTCCTCCACTGGAACCTCCTTCTCTGTTGCTTCCAGAAGCTGCTGCACGTAGCCAGAGGTGCCCAGAAGAATATGGCCAGTTGCCTGCATGGCAAAAAGGGTCCAACGTAAAGCCTCCCTGTAACAGATCCAAGATATGTAGGTTTGTCAGAATTGTCCCATTACCTCAATAGCTACAGCAAGTAGATATTAATTAACATTAGTAAATATTTTATTTGTACCGTGCTCACAAGCATGAGTTGGTCGAAATATTCATGAATAACATTATAAACGGATATTGCAGTACATTCTTGACATACATGGTGCCATATATTCTGTTGTACATGGGCTTTGCTTGACAGAGGTTTTTATTTTTTTACTTTCTTGTCCTGGTCTAACATTAGTAAATATTTTAGCTGTGCCTATAGAGGCCACGTCAATACATCAACAGGAGCCACTGGTACGTTAACAGCAAATGTTACAACTGGCCATATAAGACAGAACTTATTCCTATCCGTCCTCATTTTATGTTTCTCCCACTTTATTTCTTACAGTTCTGGAGTTTATTTTTGTTACACAAAACACAACAATAAGCAAATTAACATTTCTTGAAAAAAAAAAAAAATAAATAAAATAATAATTATATATATATATATATATATATATATTTTTTTTTTTTTTTACTGCTAATGTATGCAGTGTCAGAGGGGAATATAAAATGAGTACTAAAAAAATAACCAATAGTAGAATGCAATATACTGTACATTACAAACAAACAACAAAAAAGCAACATGGCTGAGCTCCTCAATCGAAAGCCCCAATAACACCAATATACCATGTTTTAAGGGGCCAAATTGTGTGACACTCCTCACCTACTTGAGCAGGAACACTTTAGAACACAACGTGCAGCCTTGACGTCCTGAGCTCTGTTCCCCTCCTTGCCCAACCTAGACCGGTGAGGTCATCCCAGTCCACCACTGCATTGCTCCTCGACTGGCTAAACGCAACAAGGTCCCTGTGTTGGGGCATAGGAGCATACAACACTACGCACCTAAAATGGCAGCCGATGGCACCGTGATTGTAACTGGAGGCCACTCCAAGCAGACTCAACCACTCAGCAGCTTCCTGCAACGCTTTGATCGACTGTGTACCGCGTTCTGGGAAAGCTTGTGGGTGAAACAGGAGGCCAACACAGGCAGACTGGAATCACAGCTCTAGCCCCGGTCAATGGGGCAGACCTAATTAGGCCCATACGGAGAATGGGCAGGAAAAGGAGACACCCTCCGAGATAAAGACCACCAGGGAATCTACATACCCCAAATGGCCAACCGGCCCGTAGGGGCAATAAACCGCAACAGGCTGACATCTCATGGGGTCACAGTTAGCCTCGCACCACCGTCTGGAGGCCAGGAGATGGCTTTTTTCGCCCACTAGCTTTCCCACAGGGCTCCTGCATCCAGTTAAAGCGTCAGTTTCATCCCAGGCTTCCATCTTGGGCCTCCAGAGTAGGCATCAGCTAACTGCCACATGGTCTTGCCTTACTTACCTTTGACTTAATGCATGGTCCAACCTCATTGCCCTTAGTTAATCTCTCCAGGTTTTAACGTCCTTAGTTTGAGCTCTTGTGTCTCTCAGCTTTTCAACACATAATAGTCAGTCTGCCTGATTTGACTATGCAGGGTTCTTATCTTTAATAACAGATGTCACAGGCCATACCAGCCTCTCTAGCTGCCCATACTTTTGATGCAGTGGATATACCTTAGTCTGTGTTAAGCATGTTAGTTTAATCAATAACCCCAATCGGGATATAACTGTCCCTCAGTACAACCTTTATGTTTACTTATGCCTCTTACCATGCTGTGTAACTCTTGTATTATTGTTTTCTTTTTTTTTAAAACAACAGTGAAGCACCTTGTGTAGTTGTGATTACTCACAACTATGCTTTGTTATATTATCTCATGTTAAATGTAATAATGGAAACATGTATTTGAATCTGCACATCAAAAGTAAAGAATTTAAAAACAAACAAACAAGCATTTTATATACATTCTCTCTCTCTCTCAAATCAAGAATAAAAGTTGGAATAATTAAAAATGATATGGGATGAACACAGATGGACCGATACTAATTTCTATGGAATATACCAAAGGAACAAGTACTCACTTCATCATCCTCTTTGCCCCGTGGCACTGCAAGTTATAAGATACAGTGTACATTCCATACAGTGTGGCCTTGACATTAAGAGAGCCAATGAAATCCTCAGGATGATTTTTGTATAGATCAAAAGTGACACTAGCCACATCCATCTTTCTTACAGATTTGTTGGAGAAATCAACGTGGTATCCTTTCTGTGTCAAACAAAACACAGAAAGAGGTTAGATCATACTCAGACATAAAGTGCAGGACAAAATCGGAGACATTTTGCTTGTTTGCTATAGAAAACAGGGACAAACTTACGCCTTCTGCTGGTTTCCATGTCTGTCCTTTCCCAAGAGCCATGAAAACTGCACCACTATCCACAGCCTGGAAATACTCCTCTGTATCCACACCTGTTCCATCCTCATCCAAAACCAGAGTAAGAGCCTCAGATATAAGCAGGGAATCTTGTACCTGCAAACAAGGAATGGAAAGGAATCACAGACTGAATATATGAATATGATTTAATTAACCCAGCTATAAGAGTGTAAGCTAGTTTGAGCAGGGCCCTCTTCACCTGCTGGTCTTGTATGTTAAATGTGGTTTGTTTTGTTTTGTTTTAGAATGGTTTGTCTTGTTTTACCTATTGTACATTGCACCAGAATATGTTGGGGCTATATAAAGAATTGTGATTGCATTGTAACAAAAAGATTTGATATGCTATGGAAAGCCTGCATGGTCCAAAGCACATCACGGTTTCCAATGTCCTCACCTTGTTGATCAGATCCCCGAGGCTGTCAGCCATGATCCCTTTGCGTGTGCTACGGTCACAGTTGCAAACTCGAAAGGGTCGAGGTTTGGATGCAGGGCGAGAAAGAAGCTGTTGAGTCATTGAAGCACTTACTGAGACGCACCTGTAAATGCCAGGACATCAGGTTAGCAATAAGCAATCTGGCTTTTTGGCTGTAGAACAAGTTTACCTTTTCATCTAAAAAATACCAAGTAAGAAAAGAAAAAAAAGTTTATATATATTTATAAATAATGCTTTCTCCTGTTAATAGGAGTTTGATGTCGACAAACATTCCCTGCCGTTCTATTGCCAAGTCTAGCCTGGAGTGTTCTGATGAAAGATGTTGCAAGCTTTTCTGACCTTTAGTCTAAATAACAAACCCGTTCTGGTACATGGTACATTGCATTAGAATAGGTTTTATAACTACACAGATTGAGAAATGAAGTGAAACGTGACAGACAAACCACAGACTAAAAGAAATATTTAGAAGCCCCTGACCCCTCCCCAAAAAAACAAAACAACAAAACCACAGACAGTCATTTTAAAATAAAACAAATATGCCACTAAATGCCGGATACAGAAACAGTTCTCCTGCAACTTTGAAAGGTGCATACAACTTTTAGAGAGACGTAAAATGAGTAATTATTGTGTTGAGTTCTAAATGTTTAGCAGTGACTATTGAACCAATTGAATGTTCCTGCTGTATGAGACAGTTTTAGAGGGCATCCCCTGAACTATTAGCTCACCGTTTTATTTATTTTTCCATTTAAAGGGTTAGTCCAAGCACCATGACCATGTCAGTGATTTGAAGTGCTCATGGTGCCTGGAGTCTGCATGTGCACCATTTCACTATGAAAATCGTAATTGTTGCATTTTACAAGATGCTTTGTAGTAACAATTTCACAGCAACACGCGACCCCTTTCCTATTGTACTGTTTACTTTTTATCTCAATAAAGGACTTTAAAAACAAACAAAAAAAAAAATTGAATGCCACAGCTCCAATAATGTTTCACCATGAAACAAAGGCACTTACTTAGATAGAGATTTGGGGGTGAGAAAGCTCAAAGATTTTGCTGCATACTCCATTTTTGTTATGATAACGTGGTCCACTCTATAAAAAAAATAGAAGTATTACATTTGTGTTTCCACATGGTTCCTAAGTAAAGAGCCAAGCTGATCTACAGAGATATTTATTTGAATTGCCATGAATATAAAGTAAAAACTTTAAATTTTAGGTTGAAATAGCTTAACTGAAAGTTTAGCACACTTAAAATGTTACGTTCATGTTGAACCACTACAATTAACACTTTATTGAATATCTGCAAGCTTTCAGTCATATTCTTATAATAGACCTCTTTCCCAATATGTCTACTCATCAAAACCAAACTTGATTTCATATTTTAGAAAATAACTGAAGGCTTCTTGTCTTGTACTCACTCAAACGCCATTATGCCAAACTCAATCTCTGGTGAAGCGGTCTGAGAAAATGTAGCTTAGGTGAATCAGTGTCAGTTTTAAAGGACCTTCCCTGGGAGGGGTTTACCCACTTACCCTGCTGTGAAGTCACCAGAGGATCAAAGTCTGTGCCACATATTATAATGTTACCTTACATAGTAAGTACAATGTCCATATTAATGTCTGTAAGGGTGATAATCAGGACTATCTATCTTTATTAGATGGTGTTAGTCATTCTGGTAATGACAGAGGGACATAAAATTTGTCACAGGAAAAAGCATTCTGTATAGAAGAGGTACTTTCTAAAGCACTAATCTCAATGTGCTTGTAGAAGCTCTCGTCAGCTGACGCTCTCAGCCTATCACACTGGTGCCCAAAGGAAAAGCTTCCATATTGGGACCGGAAAAGACAGTGAGTGGCCGAACATACAGGCCCAATGAAACAGGGCCAGACTGGCCCACTGGGATACCAGTAAATTTCCCGGTGGGCCGTGCACACAGCCCTAAATTAGGCTAATTTCATTTAAATTATTTCCCCCTTGGACTGACAGCATCTCTCAGTATGAGGGGATTAAGGAAGGAGGTGCTGGGGCTGGTGCGGCCGCAATTAGGCTGCTGACGGATAGAGGGAGCATTCTGAGGCTCCCTTCACAATTCCTGGCAATTTGGTACCCCACCCTGCATTTAAGCCCCGCCCCCAGCATGCAAGCTGCTGACCTCGCTGGAAGGAATATGCCAGAAAATGGCAACTTTACCTACCAATGCCAGGTAAGCTTCAGCCCATGAGAGTGATTGTGTGTGTCTGCTTGCTAGTGAGTGAGCTAGTATGTGTGTGTGTGTGTGTGTGTGTGTCAGTGAGCTTGTCTGTGATGGGCATGTGTGTGTGTCAGTGAGCTTGTCTGTGGCGAGCATGTGTGTGTGTCAGTGAGCATGTGACTGTGAGCTGTCTGTGGCGAGCATGTGTGTGTGTCAGTGAGCATGTGACTGTGAGCTGTCTGTGGCGAGCATGTGTGTGTCAGCAAGCTTGTCTGTGGGAAGCGTGTGTGTCAGTCAGCATGTGGGTGAGACTGTGAGCTTGTTTGTAGGTCAGTGTAAGTGTGTGTGTGTGTGTGTGTGTGTGTGTGTGTACTAGCAAGCTTGGCTGTGTGTTTCAGTGATGTCTGTCAGTGGCCTATTTTTGTGCATCAGTGAGCTTGTGTATTTCAATGAGACTGTCTATGAGCCTGTGTATCAATGAGCTTGTGTTAGTGAGATTGTCTGTGTCTTCATGTGCGTATGCTTACGGTTTAATTGAACTACCCTGAAAGAACCAATATTTTGAATTAGAAAAATAAATATACCAATAATATGTATGGCTAGGTCTTGCCACCCCAGATGATTGAGTAATTTATAAACACAGAAAAATAAAATTATTAATAAATAAAACCCTTTATTTACTCACCTGATTCCGGCATCATTGTCCCTTGGTGCTCTGCCTCCGACAGGGATAGGGGGGACCTAATGCCCATGCACGGCGAACGCATTAGGCCTTCACCATAGGAAAGTATTGACAGTGCTTTCCTATGGGGATTTCCCTGATGCTGGATGTCGTCATACAGACCATGAGGACATCCAGTGTCATTTAACAGAGTCAAACTCCATTGGAACCCAGGAAGCGCCTCTAGTGGCTATTTGATAGCCAGCCACTAGAGGCAGTCTTAATCCTGTAAAGTAATCATTGCAGTTTCTCTAGAACTGCAATGCTTTACACAGCAGGACTAAGGGAGACACGGACACCGGACCCAGACCACTTTAATGAGATAAGTGGTCTGGTTGCCTAGAGTGTCCCTTTAACCCCTTAAAGACCAAACTTCTGGAATAAAAGGGAATCATGACATGTCACACATGTCATGTGTCCTTAAGGGGTTGAAGGGACAATATATAGGCACCCAGGCCACTTTATCTCATTGAAGTGATGTGGATGTGTGTCCCTGCGAAAACATTGCAGTTTTAGAGAACAGCCAGCAGAGGTGCTTCCTGCAGTTTAATGCTGTGAAACAATGCTAGAGGTCCTCACGCGTTGCATGCCAATGTCCAGCATCTTGCAAATCCCTATAGGAAAACATTGATTCTTTGCTTTCCTATGGAAAAGGCCTAATGCACACTCGGCGATTGCAACACATGCACATTAGGTTACCCCATCACCATGACATTGCGGGAGGAAATGATCAATCCAGCGCCACAGGTCCTCAGCACTGGACTCACGTAAGTGAAATATGGGTTTCTAACTCTTTCATTGCCACAGGGAAGGGGTAGGCAGAGGAACACCGTAGTGTTAGGAATGGAAACATTTCAGTTTCTATTTTTCTACAAAATGGCAATAATTTACATTGCAGGGAGGGTACAAATTAAAGGGTTACTGCATTCAGAACACTTCATTGAGGTGAAGTTGTCTTGGTGTTTTAGCGGTCCTTTAAATGTACACTGGTTTACCCTAAAACTGGGCACCTTGGCTTAGTGTCAGTCATTGTTACAATCTCTGTCCTTTGCACCTGGCAGTAAGCACAGAGAAAGCATACCGAGAAGAGCAAAAAAAAAAAACTAAGATATTTATCAAGGCATTCTGAAAAGCAGTGCTTACATTCCATCACTATTTTGATAATCTACATTTCAGCAGAACATTAAGTGGGGAAAAAAAAAAAAAGTGTCTGAAAATATAAAACAATGGAGAAAAAGCTACCAAATTCATTAAATTGTGCCAAAAATTTGTTGGAAAAGTGTTGGCAATACTTTCATAAATCTCCCTCAATGTTTCTATTTCTCGTTATTTGCAAAGTGTGCCAGGAATGTGATGTAATTTACTAAATATTTCATATAAATTTTGAAAAACATAGAGCACAGAACACGTTAAAGGCTATTTTCAATGGAGTAATTTCCGGAGAATTGAAGTTTCCCCTTTAATAATCATATAGCATTTACCATTCCTCATCTTGTATGTAATTTCACCCAATAGGACAGTTTATGTACATCGCCTCTAAAACATGCAAAGCTTATATAGAACATTTCTCCTCTAAGGGTGGTGCAGATTAAATAGAGCATGTCTTCTATAGAGCAAGTGAGGGTTATGTGTAGCAGTCTCTCTCCCATACAAACACATTTCAAATCCACACTAGGGGGTAGGAGAACACAAATGCGTTGGGAATACGTGGTTGTATTCCTAATGATATCGTGTCCTTTAAACATTTGATTTTATTTTTCACACTTCATAACTACTTATTTATTAAATTCAAGGGATAAGCAAACATAATTCATACCTCCCAACATTTCAAAATGAGAAAGACAGACATTTTTATTTTAGGGATGTGAGTGGGGGTCTGGCTGGGGATGGGCTGGTCTCAGAACGTTTAGGTTACTTAATAATTTATGCAACTCATATGTTATTTAGAACAAGAACAATGCATCTTATTTACACAAACTGATTTCCTAAACACATTTATTATAGTTTAAAAACATATTATTGTGAATATTCTTGCTGTGGAGCTCTGTTATACTGTCAGACACACCAACAATATGGAGCTTCTCGATAAGATGGACAGAGGGATTTGAATCCCCAAAAAAGGGAATGCCCCTTATAAATAGGGACACCTGGGAGGGATGTAATAGAGTATGAGTGTAAGAGTTTGTAAAATCATATATAGAATATACACCCACTTATAGATTACAGAATCATGTAGTGTGAATAATGGAATTGGGGTGTGTAATAATATATAGGAAAATTAATGTCAGGTGACATTGTTTAAATACAGTATAAAATAGCAGTACTCCACTGTTAAAAGTCCTAAATTCACCTGTAGAAAATATGTAAAAACAAAACTCACCCAGAACACAAACACAAAAAAAAATATCCAATGATCAACGGAATACTACTTAAAGCCTGCACATAATGTGCTATTTTTAACTTTGCATAATTGTATGGTATAAGTTCATGGGGGTTAAATATATTGTGTAATTCTGGTGTATATAGCTATAAAAGCGGAGCAATGATATTTCATCAGTTTTTGACTGCTCCAATTTACCAGCAATTCATTTGCCTATGCTAAACAGAAAGTTACCAACAGAGATGAAAGTGAGCAATAGGCATCATTAGTTACCAGCAGCCTGGATACCCCTACTTTAACACAGGTGTGCCACTCCACCAGTGATTAAGTAGAAGTATTCTCATGTTCAGTAGTGGAATGAAAACGTTTCACCAGCGTTAATGTTCTGTCTCTTCAAATATACTATTAGCTAAAAATAATAATAATAATAATAATAATAATAAAATAAATAAATAAATAAAAATAATACAGAGTAAATATATATATATATATATATATATATATATATATATACACACACACACACACACACACACACAATGAAAATGTGTTGTTGTTTTTTTGTTTAAATCTAATACCAGAACCAGCATTTAATTAACATGTTAATGAACAGGATTAGGCAAATTAATACATGTAATGCTTTATATTATCGAGGGTTTAATACTCTCCATTTTCTTACTTTTAGTTGTATCTAATCATTTAACCCTTTGCTACACACCATACTTGATCAACGTTTTTTTAATATAAAAAGTTATACTTACAGTTTGGTAATGAGTGGCTAGGTAGTTCAGAAGGAGAAGATCAGCTTCAAACCATCCCTAGGCTCGATTCATACAGTGACTGGCTTCCTGATGAGCTGTACATTGCCTCATTACTGCTCACACCCTTTTACCCACACAGCCCACTATGTGCAATGAGATGTTGTCAGGTCATTACTCCAGTAAACCCAGCATTGTGAAAACTAGAGCAGAGGTCATACATTGATTTTTACCATCAAGCAGCCTGAGATTGCTGAAATCTTGCCCTACTGTATAAGTAGCTTTCACATGTATTGCAAAATCAGCTAATAAAAAAGATCAAAGCTTCATAAAAAATACACATAAATCATGGATCTATTATAATATATCCATAAAGGTAACTGATGTAATCATTTATCACATATGACTAAACAGCTGATAGAAACTAACAATGGAATGCATTCTACAAACACACAGATGTCTTCCTAGTTACTGTTGCACTGCTGCCAATGACAGTCATCAACGTGTGCTACCACTACTTCCGGGTGTAGCAAGATGGCGCAGTGCACTCACCGGAAGTGATCTGGGTTATGCGCTGACTGTGCTGCAGTACCTGCTCATTGGCGGAGGTAAGACATAACTTGTCCCTTGTCTTCATGTAAAATGTGCTGTATCTGCCATTTCCGAACCTTCCAAGATCCAGCTACCCTTATTGAAAAGCCATTTCATGCAGTCTGAATGCATTGCTATGTGCAGAGACTGCCATGGTGTTAGAGAGAGGGGCAGATGGCTGAGTGTGAGTGAGGCTGGCTATGCAGGCCATTCAGAAAAATGAATTTCCACACTGGATGCCTTGACAAGTCTGCAAAATCTATTTTTATCAGCTGGGATGGTCTGTATATCACAGCTGCAGCAGGGACTCTAGGAAAGATTCCAGGTTCTTTTTTAGAAACCCAACGAATCTTCCTAAAGATATCCCAGATTATAGCTTTTTTGTGTGTGTTTTCTTGGGGCATTGATTTCTCATACTGCTGACTTCGGTGGAATGGTAATTTCTAAAGCTGTGTGTTCGTAGGAAATGGTGTACAAATACCCCTGCAGTGCCAAGATTATTCAGCTTCAGGAACAGTGGGCTCAATTTGTCAATTGCAGCATTTTTTTTAAAGGCAGATTTGGAGATTAACCCCATTACATTTTCATATTTCTCTAAATTATTTCAAATTACAAAGTCTGAGAAGTCTGGTACTTATCAAACAGAAAATGTTAACCTTCACCGATTTTTTTTATTTATATATATATATATATATATATATATACACATATTTTTTTATCAATAACCATTTGCATGCAAAATAACACACCATTAAAATGTAATTAGCTGGCTCTTTCTGCTATATGAATCGGATATATGAATAAGATGATACAGCTCTCCTGTTAATGACCCTCACTCTAAATGTGGCCATGTAAAGGGTGGTTAAAGGGACATCATAATCACCTAAACATCTTCATTTCAATGAAGCGGCCCTGTTTTTTTTTTTTCAGTTTACCATGCTGGGTTAACGCTGTCATTGTGAGTATTTTGAAAACATTTTATCTTTGTAAAATACTTAGATTTGACAGAGTTGGATAGGTCAGCATATTGCATATTTTGCAAAGCCCCAGGTGGTGACGTCGCTGCTTGGGATGCAGTGGCCTGAGGGTGTAGCAGCGAGGAGCTGTACTTATTTGATGCGGTTCCCTATGGGCATCGCCCTCTTTGATCTTCAGCTACAGATACTTTATCCGCCAAGAGCCCACGTCTACTCTCGCACGTACATGAGAATACAATACTGATGTCAGTGAAGCAGGCTGCAGGGGTCTCCATAGATCATATCTCACAATGAGCGAAGCAATGTCTTATCCCCACTACCATTGCTGCCAATGCCTGTGGGTAGTGACAGGACTTGACATGGGCATCCCTGCTTTTTGTCACGGTAAGATTTTGCCAGAAGATAAAGATATCTTATATCTTTTGACTCAATTGGAATTTCAATGAAATTCCAACATACCCATATAGATATTACCTTTATGAAATGCTCAGAATTCGGGCTGCTTTAACCAGGCAATTTTCTCCCTTTTTCCTCCAATATGTGACCTGGTCAGCAGGACAACCTTCCTCTATTGCTTGTGCTGGTGCAAAATAAAATGAATGAAAACATAAGAATTTTTTTTTTTTTTTTAAAAACGTGTCTTTTAGCTCCTAGCATCAATTCCATGTATTAGACTTAAAGGGACACTGTAGGCACCCAGACCACTTTGACTCATTGAAGTGGTCTGGGTGCAAAGTCCCATCACCCTTAACTCTGAGCATGTTTTTTATGAACTGCAATAATTACCTACTAGGGTTAACTCCTCCTCCAGTGGCGGCTTTTGGTCGCCTAAACAGCACTTTACGTTCTCACTCTATTCATGAATACTTCCAGCGTCACCGGAATCCCCATAGGAAAGCACTGAATAATGCTTTCCTATGGGGAAATTCTAATGCAAGTGCGGCCATTGCCGCACATGCGCATTAGGTTTCCCCCAGTCGGCAGGGGAGGAACGTGGGCGGAACTGAGCCAACGCCGAGGAACATTGGTGCAGGACCCAGGTTAGTGACAGAAGGGGTGGGCATTGACAGAGGGGGAAGCTATGGTGCCAAGAAAACTAGTTTTTATGGCACTATAGTTTCCCTTTAAAGGGACACTATAGCGGGGCTTGACAAATTTGCTTTGAATCTAGGAGCCAGCTAAAAACGTTAGGAGACAGTTTCTCACCAGAACCACTACAGCTTAATGTAGAAGCTCTGGTGTCTATAGCCTGTCCCTGCAGGATTTTCAATGTAAGAACTGACTTTTCATTGTGCATGGTAACATCTCTAGGTGCAGTAACTCAGACGGCCACTAAAGTGTCTCCCATCTCAGTGCAGCACCTACATTCACTGTCTCCTTGCTGTGCATGGAGGCACTGAACGTTCCCCATAGAGATGCATTTTGGCGCATATGCTCAATAGCTTCCCAATGCATTCCTATGATGGGGGGAAAAAAACACAATTACTATGCGATCAGAGGTGGGCTGTTGACCTAAACATACGCATTCACAGATAGACACATACTCACTGACAAACATACACACACTCACTGACATGCACACATTCTCTCACACATTGAGAGTATTCTGTGTTTTTTTTTTTAAATTTGATACACACACAAAGATTTCTAGCTACATACATACATACACACACACATAAATAACTCTATCAAAATAAAACATTTTCAGGTCAAAGACAACTGGGGTCTACTGTAGGTACTATAACCAGTTTAGTTAGATTGTTGTCATAGTGAGTGCAGTGTTCCTTTAATAGGTGAAACTGGTGAATAAGCAGATATCAACGATTCTGCAGGTCCTACCAGCCTATTGAAACCCCTTTTCACAGTTTAGTGGATGTTGCTTTAAAGAGTTGGCCCTTACGATTTTCTATGCAAAACAGCCAGACAGGGGTGATCAGGGCTCGTACAACCAAAATGAGGGACAAGTGCCTAGAGGCATAATGAAAGACTCAACTAGCAGAGCGTCATGGGACACAAGGGCCAAGAGGCACAAGGAGAGATACACCTTTCTTGAAAGGGACACTCCAGACCCCTAAAGGACTACAACTTGCTCTTTTTTAAATTTTTACAATAAGTGCAGATTTCATTAGAATTTGGCACTTTAATAAATTATCATTCTTACACTCCCTCTACACCCCAGCTATCAATCGGACAGTTAGTCCTGTTACTTCCTGGTTTGGTTAGCTCAGTGTAGCTAAACTCAAGAGGCAGCAATTGCTGAGAGCACCTGCCTTGCAAAGACTTTTTACTGAGCTGCATTGGGAAGTCTGTGATTGGACAGACACAGAAAGTCTGGGAGGGTCTGCAAAGGCTGCAGACAAGAGGTATGCAGCTTTTACAAACTGTTTTAGATATGTTTTCATTGTGGGTATATCTACTAAACAGTGATTGTTTTATATATATATTTATATATATATATTTGTGTTAAGGGCTCATGATAGTACAGAAGATACAAACACTGATAAGTATGGGATAGTGTGAAAGAGCAAGTCGGTTGTGGTGTGCCGGAACCGACGATGAGGTAGGCCTGTAAATAAAGAGGGCCCACCAATAAGAAATGTATGAGAAAAAGGAGTTAATAAAAAGGAGTGGGTGGGAGGGTGATGCAGCGCTGACCTCGAACGGTATGGAGCCAGGTAAGGGGTGTCCCTTAAGTAGGGAGAAGGTGAGTCATACGCCCCTCCCACAATTACAGGCCAAAAGGCCTTAATACTTGTGTTAAGGGCTCATGATAGTACAGAAGATACAAACACTGATAAGTATGGGATAGTGTGAAAGAGCAAGTCGGTTGTGGTGTGCCGGAACCGACGATGAGGTAGGCCTGTAAATAAAGAGGGCAAAAAGTAGAAAATATACTTTATTACGAAACGAGCAGTATACATACTTCAACCAGACATATCTTGAAAGGCATTTCTAACTTCTTGTACCGGGTTAGGTATGTATCTAGAGTATGCAGAAGACTTCCAGCGCCCTAGTGACTTGATAACATGTACTGGAATGTTTGCACTGGACGCTGTGGAGGCCGCCCCTATGCGGAAGGAGTGGCCCGAATAGTTAGCTGATTTTAGTCCTAGTTGTGTAAGTAGGGACCTGACGTGGGTCATGAAGGTGGTGGTAGTGAGTACCGAACCTTGTAGACAGAAAAGTGGTTGAGATGGTGATGCTTTGAAATGCTGAGTATAGGTGTCCAGTAATGTGACGGGGCACCACACGTTGTGGGTAGGATAGTATCTAACCTCTACCGGGGGTGCGTGTTGATTGGTTTTGGAGTGATGCAGAGTTAAAATATAGTAATCCATGTGTTTCGTTAAGTGTGAATGAAGCAGAATGTGAGTGGACTGGGATGTGTTGATGGCGGTAAATTCTCTTGGTCTCAAGAAACCATAAAAAGCTACGTATATGGCGGTTTTTATAACAAGGTTTGTGTTGTTCGCAAAGGGTTTTGAATCTAGTAGGCTGGATAAATCCTTGAAGATATTGAAGTCTATAGGTAGCCTTTGCGCGGTACGTGGGGGTTCGGATCTCTGGATACCTCTAAGGATGTTTTTATCTGGTAGGAGGACATGAAACTTGTGTTGTTTGGTTGTAATGTTAGCATGTGATGTTGTATGCCTGTCAGATATAGCTTGATTGTGTTGTAAGATAATTTAAGTTTGAGGTGGCAAAAAGAAGCAAAACCTAACAAAGATGTCATGATGAAAGGTTGTGTGACGTTGTGCAGTGACAGGAATCTTTTAAATAGAAGGAAAGCCCTGTCATATGTTCTCCGGGTATTGGTGGACAGTGCTAATTGTGCCAATGTCCTGCTATGTTGCATAATAGCTTCTAGTCCATGACTAGCTGGTGGAAAGGTGGAGTGGTCGTGGCTGTACGTGCGGCTGACGGAAGTATTTGCCGAAAAGCCTGAAAATTGAAACGAGACAAATTGTCAGCAGCCGTGTTACAAACACCTGGGACATGGACACAAAACAAGAAGAAGTTATGGCATGCAGCCAGCCAGGTGAGTTTCCTCAAGAACCTCATAATGGTCAGTGACTTGGATCGGCCTTTGTTTATGATGTGGCAGGTAGCTTGGTTGTCTGAGTGGCAACGTACTGACGAACCTGCCCATAGATGCCCCCATGTCACGGCAGCTGCCACAATGGGATACATCTCAAATAGAGCTGAGGTAGTGGAAAAACCTTCCAGGTCCTGTACCTCTGGAGGCCAGCTACCCCAAAGCCATTCATTCCCGTAAATTGCTGCAAAACCTGTGGTAGACGCCGCGTCTGACCAGATGGTAGGTGAGGAGTCAGACAATTTAGGGAGAAACATGCTTTTCCCATTCCAGGTGGTCAAAAAGTTTCTCCACATAAGTAGGTCTGCCGTGGCTTGGGTATCCAGTGGTAACCTGTGTGCATCATGTCTAAACAGTGGGAACATGGTTAGGAGCCGTGAGATGAAAGCCCGGCCTTGAGGTATAATGCGCATGGCAAAGTTCAGTGACCCAAGTAGAGACTGCAATTCTTTGCGATTGCAAGTACCGAGGTGTATGTAGAGGTTAATGTTGGTGAGAATGTTCTCTATCTTGGTGCGTGGCAGGCTGGCTTGCATGGTGGCTGAGTCTAGCATGATTCCCAGAAAGGTGATGACTGTATCTGGTCCTTCAGTTTTGGTGGGGGAGACTGGAACACCCACCTGTTTAAAAAGACTGATGGTTGCTATGAGGCTACTGGGAGGGGAAGTGTTCTCTTCGATCAGTAAGAAATCATCCAGGTAGTGTATAACTGTAGGGCATCTGGCTACATTTAATAATAACCAGCATAATGTTTCGGCGAATACGTCGAAAATGGCCGGACTACTTTTTGAACCAAACGTTAGGCGTGAGAAAAAGTAGTAGTGCCCGGCCCACTTAATGCCATGCAGGTGCCATAGTGTAGGGTGGATAGGCAATAATTTGAAGGCATTTGTAATGTCAGTCTTGCTGAGCCATGCTCCGACCCCTGCCTGCATGATAGCTGTAATGGCGTGATCTATGGTGGAGTATTGAAGTGAAAATTCCTCAGAGGGGATAAGGGAGTTCAGACTAGGTGAGGCAGAGGTGTGAGGTGCAGACAGATCGATGATAAGTCTTTGTTTGTGGGAAGATTTCCCTGTGACAATACCGATGGGGTTTGTCCGCCATGTGGAAAAAGGAGGGGACTGAAAGGGTCCCAATAGGAAGCCCTCTGCCACTTCTTTGGCTATGAGTGTGCTAACCGCTGTAGGGTTTTGTTGTGCAGATTGTAAATTAGGACATTCAAGGATTCCTGAAGGCATGTGTATGAGACCAGTATGGAATCCTTGTGATAGACCAGTGATGATGAAGTCTACCAAATGTCTAGATGGATGTCGTGACAGTAATGCCGTGAGTACAGAAATATTTATCTCAGTTAAGTATTGCTTAGGGTACATTTTATTTGGACACATGGTTTTCGCATGTGCCCTAAAACATTTTGAACATATATGCAATAACCGACAACCGCTGTAATTACATGCACCGACATTGAAATTATTACATATTTGGGACTTCCCCAAAAACTTGATAGGTCGACCCAGTTTGTCTTTGGGTGTTCTCTCTGCTGACACAGCGGAGCTAGTGCCCTGCGAGGTGGTAGGTTCGTTCGCAGTGGTCGGACAAAAATTGGCAGTATGAGCCATGGAGGAGCAGTGTGCACAGGCCGGTGCTCTTAGACCTGCAAAGTGCCTGCAAAAAATGATCGTATCAATCTTACTCCAGTTGGACCTTGTCCCGTACTGTGAGAAGGCGCCAGACACTTTGGCAGAAAAAGATCTATGGTAGTCATAGAAAGCTGACCCACCATATTTGTTGCCCAGATCAACCAGCCTGTGCATATATAAGTCAAACTCCTCACGTCTGTGGGGATATACCGTACAGACCACATCCCGATAAATGCCAAAAGCTAATACAAATTCAGGAATGGTTAGCTTCCTATTTAATCGTGCATCCCTGGATTTGACCACCACAGAAATATCGTCATAAGCGTAGGTCTTATGTTCCACTATATCCTGGGAGGCAATTAGTAGTGAGGCCAGATTGACATCTTTACCTTCCAGGATATCTCTCCTGAGGTGCTCAGGAATCATGTGGGCAGGGTAAACTTCTTGGTCATCCGAGGTGATAGCTGGAGAAACTGATTGCGACTCCACCACTGATGGGGGAATTGCCGTGGCCGGTCCAGCCATAGTGAGGGCTGTAGTGACCGATTCAAGTTTCTCCAGCCTAGAATTGACCTTGCTCATGGATGTCATGAGGGACGTGAGCATGTCATGTATGTTCCCTGGGTGGGACTGGCTCGACCCTTCCCCAGCGTCCATGTTATCAGTTGAGGTGTGTAATAATTTGTAAAGTTCCGCTTTCCTTGCTGTTGCTGGAAAAGGGATTTGTCGTCTCCTGAGTTCGCTAGTGATACGAGGGATAGTCCATGATCTGAAAGATGCTGGACTAGCCGTATCTTCCTCCTGTGATGGGGTGTTGGTTCTAGCCGGAGTCTTTGGGATGGAGAAATCCTCTACCCCTTCTTGAGACATACTAGATTACAAAAGTATATGGTTAGCATAAAACCCCCCGAGGGGATGTACTGGCAGGCTAATTATGCCGGATAGGCGAAAAATTAAAACTTGTTCTTTGGTGACAGGTGAGGCCCTGCTAGTTGCCAAGTGGCTATGAGAGGCTCTATCTATGCGTTGGCGCTAGGGGTTATTGAGGCCACCCGACGTAGTGGCAGGAAATCGTAGGCCTCTCGGTGACAATACAAGAAAACAGGGGAAGGGAGTGACAGGTGGCACCCTCTCTATAATGCGAGGCGGCTAACTCACGTGTGGCCCGGGGGGCATTACCTCCGAAACGTTGAGGCGGGGTGTTGGCCTCGCGGACCACTAAACGATAGGCAAAATGCCCGGAGGGGGGATACCTATTTGGGTCTATAACCCCTAAAATTGCCAGTACTCTATGTCCTAAGTAGAGGAGGAACCATATGTGATGTATGGCGTGAGCAGGCTTAACGTACCTGGTAGTATGTATGCGTTTGATAAGCGATAGGTAGAGAAAACTGGAAAAATCCTAAAGGGATAGAAAACCAAATATGATAGTGTGAGAATTGGATCCTATGATACCAATTTAGACTAGTTATATGTGATGAGTTCTAGTAGTACATATGGAAAGGGAATACATGAATGATATTGGCCCGACTGGCCCTGTATGTGGTATGGTAATCATGCTTGGGGGTGTGTATGATATGTCTCTGGTGACCAGATTAATGCGTATGATATAGTAATGCTAGTGTTTGTGGTATAATAAGGTGCAGGATTTAAAACAATACCGTATATGTTAGGCCGTAAACGTAAGCCATGAAAAGAGGTAAGTACGAGGTACAGAAATATTTGAGAAGTTATCCCAAAATTTGGAAACAACGTGACGTATGAGTGGTTGAATCAAGACGTGTGATTCAACCCGAGAGTTTGTGAGATTTGTGAGACCGTGTTCTTGTGTACTTGGTATGTCGTTTGAGTACACAAAGAAAAAGTCAGAATATATAAGTGCCATGTAAGAAACGTGAGTACATGGTATGATAGAAACGTAATTTCTAAACATAATTTATAACGTAAATCCTACAAGCGACATCTGTAAAATGTAAAGGCTTGTCTAAGCTTAACTCCATAAATATATGTATATAACATGAAGAATTTCAATAAAACTTTAATAATGCCATATCTGCTAAGATTAAACCATAACCTAAATAAATACTTATTCATAAGTAGTTAACAGGGGTATTGCCCCAGTCATATGCAAGGATTTCGTAATTTGCATAAAATAAATAACAGTAAATGACATGAAACCAATTATAGCTGATGATATGCAGAACAAATTTGCTTAATACAAAGAAAAACCGAAACCGATATGCCTGCCGGCAGCAAAGGGGTTAATATGCCTGTGACTTGGCCGTAAAGCGTGTGGCCGTAAAGTAAGGCCGTTTTAAATCGCGACGCCGTGGGAAATGATCCGGGCGACGGACTTACGATTTTGAAGTCCTGTGGACTTAATCTGCGACGAAAACACCGGGTATGTGCGTGGCTGAACGGGCGGAAAACCTGTAAGGATTCCTGGACACAGCTACACCAAACGAAAACCGCGGGTTTTTGAAAAGCAAGATGGCGCCGTACGTGAACCGGAAGTGGATTCTCGATGCAGCGCTGACCTCGAACGGTATGGAGCCAGGTAAGGGGTGTCCCTTAAGTAGGGAGAAGGTGAGTCATACGCCCCTCCCACAATTACAGGCCAAAAGGCCTTAATACATATGCAAATCCACCTGTCCCGCATTCACAGTTCCCGGTATTGTTTTTGCCTTGGTGAAATCCCCGGGTTAAATATGTACAATATCTTGATGGGAGAGCACTCAAAGGACTCAAAATGTATTTCAAATAGTGCTTTTTATTTTAGCATCAAATCTTTGGATACAGAGTGTCGACGTTTCAGTCCCACTGGACTTTTATCAAGACTTAATAAAAGTCCAGTAGGACTGAAACGTCGAAACTCTGTATCCAAAGATTTGATGCTAAAATAAAAAGCACTATTTGAAATACATTTTGAGTGAGTGCTCTCCATCAAGATATCGTGTGTGTGTGTGTGTGTATATATATATATATATATATATATATATATATATATATATATATATATATATATATATATATACACACACACACACACATAGTCAGTGGGTGTCCCTTTAACAAGATCCTTTAAGTCAACATATTGCCAGGTGCACAGTTATTGTGTATAACAGTGGCAGTAGCTAACTGCTACTTTTTTATTTATTTTTTATAAATCTTTATTTTTGTTGTGCTTAACAGCTACAGACACTGACACACATACACATACTGGCACATACATACACACTCAGATACACACACTGCCACATACATGCACACTGACAGACTGACACAGATACACACATTGACACTCAGATACACACACTGGTACATAAACATTGACACTGACCAATACACACATTCACACTCAGGTTAACACCCTGGCCCACAGATACACACACAGGTCATTATATTTATATTTGCAGTCACCCTCCGTTAAGTTACCTTTTATCTGCAGGAGGGTGACTTGCTTGGAGTGCTGCTGGGTGTTGGAGTGGTGGGTGTTTGGGTGTTGGATGCTGGTTGCTGGAGTGGTTATTGAAGTGCTAAATGTTGGGTGTTGGAGTGCTGCTGCTGGGTGTTGGAGTGCTGCTGCGGGGTGCTGGAGTGCTGCTGGCTACTGCTCTTTCCCTTCCCCTGCCTTCTCTCTGTCCCGCTTGGCACGCTCCAAGTCTGGGAGGAAGTGACACTCTTTCAGCTCCTCCCAACATCCAATAATACAGGGGCCCGGTCAGATGCCACGGCCATTTAAGACCGTGACCGGGCCCCTGTATTTCAGGGAAACCGTTCAGATGGGCCAGCCGATCAGCAAATTGCTGTGGAACCCCAATTTTGTTCTCGCTGAACCCTAGTGCTAGACTACCATGTCCATTCTTTGGTTATTAACAATATTTGCAGTCCTGCTAGGTTAACTGGATATGAAAAGTGCTAAATAAAGGAAATTGCAGATTTTTTTTAAAGTAATGTAAGCAACATCTTAGTTATGTCTATTCACCAACATATCATGAAAAGCATAGTGTTGTTAATATACTGCACATAGCAGTCACTAGATAGACATATATGATTGCATTAAACAGATGAGAATTTTTTTTTTTAAAGGTAGACAACAGTGGGTTAATGGTAAAGATGTCACTGGTGGGTGGTCAGGTGACCCAATTTAACTGAGACATACCGTAGGAGGCATGCATCTAACGAAAGTTTGACTTAAAGGGCACTATAGTGCCAGGAAAACATACTTGTTTTCCTGGCACTATAGTGCCCTGAGGGTGCCCCCACCCTCAGGGTCCCCCTCCCGCCGGGCTCTGGGGAGAGGAAGGGGTTAAAATCTTACCTTTCTCCAGCGCCGGGCGGGGAGCTCTCTTCCTCCTCTCCGCCTCCTCTTCGGCTGAATGCGCATGCGCGGCAGGAGCTGCGCGCGCATTCAGCCAGTCTCATAGGAAAGCATTCATAATGCTTTCCTATGGACGCTTGCGTCTTCACACTGTGATTTTCACAGTGAGAAGCACGCAAATGCCTCTAGCGGCTGTCAATGAGGCAGCCACTAGAGGCTTTAGAGGCTGGATTAACCTATTTATAAACATAGCAGTTCCTCTGAAACTGCTATGTTTATAAAAAAAAAAAAAGGGTTAACCCTAGCTGGACCAGGCACTCAGACCACTTCATTAAGCTGAAGTGGCCTGGGTGCCTATAGTGGTCGTTTAAGTGAGACGTCACAACTGCTAAATTTTAATATATGGTATACTTCGCATATCTAGCACTAGCTAACTTAACACTAGATAAACAAATAAGAACTATCGTTATGATCAACAATCATTCCTTCTGTTCATTTTTAAAGGTTTGACTGTTATCCATGGCGTCCCGTGCAGGTCCCCGAGCATCTGGTACAGATGGAAGTGACTATCAGCATCGAGAAAGGGTAGCTGGTCACTACCAAATGAGGTAAGAATGTAATGTGATGCAACATCTATACAGAGTATTCCATATGTAATTGGACAGTCAAATATGTGAACTACCAACATTTTTATTTGATTTAAATCCATAAATTATGAACTTGGTAGGAACAACAAACCCTTTTTATACATTTTCCCTCTAATTAAGGCAACTAAATATTGTTACTGTCTCCCATGCTCCTGGCATTGAGTTAAGTAGATTTCACCGGTTATTGAGTATATTTTTGGTGATGCTGTGAAACGCCTTTTCAGCTCCTGGTTTGCTGATATGTTTGCTCCAAGGTTAAAGGATCACTATAGGGTCAGGAATACAAACATGTATTCCTGACCCTACAGTGTTAAAACCACGATCTAGCCCCCCTGGGCCCCTCATGCCTCCATAAATATCGCAAAATCTTACTGTATTCAAGCCTGAAGCTGTAGATCTGCATGCTGTTTGCATCAGAAAAACAAGCTGTCTGCTGACATCATCAGAAGTGATGGCCTGATCCAATCACAATGCCTCCCCATAGGATTGGCTGAGACTGACAAGAAGGCAGATCAGGGGCAGAGCCAGCATTATTCAAACACAGCCCTGGAAATGAATTGAATCCATGCATCTCTATGAGGAAAGTTCAGTGTCTGCATGCAGAGGGAGGAGATACTGAATGTTTGGATGCATTTTAGGCAGCCATGACCCAGGAAGGATCTCTAACAGCTATCTGGGGAGTGGCCAGTGAAGTTATCACTAGGCTGTAATGTAAACACTGCATTTTCTCTGAAAATACAGTGTTTACAGAAAAAAGCCTGAAGGTAATGATTCTACTCACCAGAACAAATTCAATAAGATGTAGTTGTTCTGGTGACTATCGTGTCCCTTTAATGCGCACATTAAAACTGACAGGCGGCAGCTTCTCCTCATAGACAGTATTTAATTTCTAAAGATAACATGCTGGCGTATGGATCCTAAAACAACATTTGTCAGAAAACAAACATGTCTGGCCTGCACTGCATGTGTGTTCATTATAAAACATAATTCTAAAACTGGGTATACTTTTAAACAATGTACATTGTACAGAGCTGAATGGGAGAACGTATCGATCTCAACATGGTAGCCACAGGATTGTAATAGCTATTTGGTTCACCACAATTCAATCGTGTTTTAATCATAAATATCAGTCACTAGGATTGTATAATAATTACTCTTTAATGTTATTTTTTTTCCAGTGTGTCACTGAAGTCAGAAATCAAGAAACTCATCTATGCCCACCTGCTGATTTGGATGCTGATTGCTGCTCAGATCACCGTCGCTCATCTGAAACTGGTGCCACATGATCTAGTGGCTATGCCCTACCAGTGGGAGTACCCATACTTGCTAAGTCTTGCACCCTCGCTCTTTGGTTTATTCTCCTTCCCCCGTAATAACATTAGCTACCTGGTGATTTCCATGATCAGCACCGGCTTGTTTTCCATTGCTCCCCTCATCTATGGCAGCATGGAGATGTTCCCAATGGCCCAACAGCTGTACCGGCATGGCAAAGCTTACCGATTCATTTTTGGTTTCTCTGCAGTGTCTGTTTTGTACCTAGTCATGGTGGTGGCCGTGCAGGTTCACGCCTGGCAAATTTACTACAGCAAGAAACTCCTGGACTCTTGGTTCACCAGCACTCAGGAGAAAAAGAAAAAATAACCAGCCTTGCCAGACAGTAATAAACTTGAAGCCACTTGCGCATCCTACACATATATATTGGGGAAGGTTATAGAAAAGGGAATATTGCAGAAGAACTCCTTTTTTTTTTTTCCTCTCCAAAATTGCAAATCATTAGAGAATTGTTTTGTCTCAGGGGTGGGACTTGCAATGGATTATGGGAATTGTTCAAAAACTGCAAGAGGGCAAATTTGGACATCTATAGTTTAGTTGTTGAAGACCATATGGGTATCAATGTCATTCTTTGCCAATGCACAATTTTGATTTGATTTTTCTTTTTTTATGCTGCTGAGGGTACATTTAGTGTAAACACAGCTTTTGCCAGGTGTCTTTATTTTTTTTAGCAGCATTTTATATTTCTTGTTATCTGTGAATTTGCTTGAGTTCCTTTTAACGGTTTAAAAGCACATTTTTACTTTTGTTAATACAACAAGCTTTCCCGGTTTTCAATTTATGTGATCCACTAAACTAGCAAATGATTCTTCCTGATTTGGATGTATATCTTTTATGTGTTGTGTCTTACATACTAGAGGTGAAATTTGCAGGACAACTGGGGTTATTACTTACATCACCACTAGATGACAGTGTAACTGACTTATGAATTTTATTTCGTAGAAAGCTGATATTAACCTCACACTCCAGAGTGTTCTCAGGGTGCAGTGCAAGAATCTCTTTCATTCTTTTAAACAAATCTCATTGTTGTCCTTTCTCCGGTGTAATATGTTTATTGATTTCCCCCTCTTTTTCTCTGCTTTAGTTTATAAGGGTTTATTCACTAAACTCCGAAGTTTAGACAGTTGAAATATGAATGGTAAAATGTAGTTATGTTAAAATTCTCCAACTTTGGTATAATCACAGCCTTTCTTTGCTTTCCCTGTCTCCAGCAGCCTGGTGTAACTTCTGTCTCTCCACAAATGTATTTTGTCAACTTTTCCTTCTCACAGTCTCTAAAATTTTCCTCACATTCCTTCTCCAGCTCCTTTCCTGTCAAATGACTAAAACTCAATGTGTACAGACTGTATCCAAATGAGGTAGATGCTTGAAGGAGAAGGATTCGGAAAATGTTTGAAGAAAAAAAAACAACAAAGATTGATAATGTGCTGTAAGGAAAGACCAACTGATTTGGGGAGACTTTAGGGAAAAAATACATACTGGGGAGAATTGCAATCTTGGGAGAATCTTGTGAAAATAGCAGACATGTTGGAGAGAACATTGGGGGAAAAAAAGACAGGGGAAATCATCGAAAAATAAAAGTAAGAAAGGTGAGATACATGGAGAGAGAAGATCTTGGGGAAAAAACAAACTTGGCTACGTGAGGGAAACTACAGATTGAGGAGACATTAACCCCTTAAGGACACATGACATGTCATGATTCCCTTTTATTCCAGTAGTTTGGTCCTTTAAGGGGGGCACAGACTTAAGACATGCTTCAGTGAAAAAAAGACACAAGTCGCCTAAGGCGAAAAAAAAAAAAAATGGGTTGAGAGGCAAATTGGGAAGATGCTTGGAGGAAAAAGGACTAACTAAAAATACATTATATTACAGGATTGTTAACACATGCTGGTTCTGGACTGGGGAGGAAAAGTCTGAAAGATTCAAATTATTTTTGAAGACTATAGGTCACCTTCTGTAAAATAATGTCAAATGAGTGTGTTGGATTCCCTTTCTCCTCTGATCACCCCATCATCTTCTCATTGATAAGGAAGAACGTATGTTAATGAGAGTGGAAAGTAAAAAAGATAAATACAAATCCAATTATTGTGTGAAATACAGTGATTTTTGCCGATGGTATAGACTTCATCGTGTCTGTCTCTACTACTTTCAGTGATGTGAAACCCTAGCCAGTCTTAAAGGCATCCGGTCAATGAGGTATTCACTGAGGAAGACACTGGTATTTCGTCTTTTTCTTATATCTTTGGCATTGTGGTGACATTTCAATGAAAGTCTAATACAGTCATCATGAGTATTTCATAACGAAATAAGAATAGAAACTTTAAAGTTGCCCACAGGGGTTCTCTCCAACCATCTGGAGAAGGGATGAGATTTACCAGCAGCATATTTCAAGTGAACTACTGGAAAACTGGTGAACTATAAGGCAACTATGAATACTAGATGCAATTTGGCTTGGTGAACAATAGTTTGTTTTTTAAATAATTTTTATAATATTTCAATATAAAAAAGACATAAGTCAGAAATCTTATCATTGAATATTTTCTGAAGTTGAGTAAGTTGAGCAATAAACATAACATAATTAAATACATACAATACTATACAAAACAATACAGTTTAAAATCTAATCCTTTCTAATGTGGTTCATAGCTTCCTAATCAGTTTAAATTTCTGGCATAAACAAACATAATTAGATACAAAAATTATAGTGGCAGTGCGAACACTAAAAAGAACTTTGTAGAGTAAAGATATATTGTAGGTTATAGTTCCCTCAAACTGTCATATTATTGAAACAATCACTGTAGTTATCAATATTGTGAGGCTCACGCTGCCATATAAGGTACAAACAATCTACATACATAAAAGGACATCCTAGACTAGTATTGTTACTTACAATTTTAATATAAGGGGGTGGTCAGGTTATGCACTGGGGAGATTGTGGGTAATCAGCTGAGCATGTCTCATGGGAGAGACATGTCAAAATAGAAATAAGTGGGAGGAAAGGGCTGCGGTGGTCTTTTTTATTTTAATCATAGTGGTGACAAAATGCCTTCACACCTGCAGGTCCCCTCTCCCTCCCATCCCAAGTTGCTGAACCCCTTCGGTGACTTACCTGTATCCAGCGCCGATGTCCCTCGGAGCTGGGTCAGGCTCCGCCTACGCTCCCTTACGCGGCGGGGGGAGACCTAATGCGCATGCGCGGCAATGCTGCGCACGCGCATTAGACCTCCCTATAGGAAAGCATTGAACAATGCTTTCCTATGGGGATTTCGTTGACGCTGGAGGTCCTCACATAGCGTGAGGATGTCCAGTGTCGTATAACACACGTTTCATGTTCTATGAACACGGAAGTATCAATAGACATCCACTAGAGGAGGACTTTACCCTGCAAGGTAAATATTGCAGTTTATGAAAACTGCAATAATTACACTTGCAGTGTTAAGGGTAGTGGGAGTTGGCACCCAGACCACTCCAATGGGCAGAAGTGGTCTGGGTGCCTGGAGTGTCCCTTTAATTTATGGCCAGTGGGTGAGGGGATTAAATGTCTGGGTGGATGTGCAGCCACACTTAATTGCACCAGAGGATGCCAGTCCCTGCCATCATAGAGTCTTTCACCTATAACCTTCCAGAAGTGGCCAAAATGTAAATCCATATAAAACCAAAATCCCACTGAGTTTCTACACAATGTCTGATACTGTAACACCTATGTGGGATCCCCTTAACCCACACCAACAAATCAAAAAATAGGGGGCCGGGCCGACTGAAAGCCATCTGCTTGGGCTCCAGCTCTGAGTCCGTGGAAAAGGCACAAAATGCTGTTCCTGACCGATTAAAAGCCATATCTTCCGATACCACTGAACAGAGAATGGCTCCAGCTTTCATCTGCTACCCGCATGAAGCTCATTGCATACCGGGTGAGCAATCGGCTGAGAACCTGAACACATGCGGCCAATACATGCGCCGCAGGGCTGCACTTCACCCAGACACCCTGGCAGGAGACGCCACACGAACGAAGCATCCCGACATGGAGCAACCCCTGGCCCGGGTTATCCCGGCCTCATGGCGACGGCTCTCACCACGGCAGGAGCTCCCGCCCAAGTTTTATGCTGCACTGGCAACGGCTGCATAAAGGACAGTCAGCCAGCAGTTGTGGACGCTGATACGGAGCAGAATGTTCACCTTAATGAGGAAGAACCCAGGAAGGGATTGAAGGGACATATGAGACCGCAGAGGATAAGGACTTTGGTGTGGCTGTACCCCACTATCTGAATATTTTATTCAACTGCACACTGAGATGGAGATGAAGACGTGGGGAGAACTACTCATTACTCATGAGGGGCTGGCCTGAACAGCACATGTGGCCAAAGATGCCGCCGGCAACCGGATGGGTTCCCTGACTGCCTGCCCACTGGAAGAGTGGAAGCCCTGACCTACTGAGTTTGTGAGGGTCCTCGGAGAAACTTGTCCCTGGTGCTGTGAGCCATGTGGATCAGGAGGATGCGGGCTTTCCAGCAGACCGGGGCCGCGAGGGGCGTGCACCACCCCCAGGTGTGTGGCCGGCACCAGGAGCGACAAGAGGGCGGCCAGTTCTCAGACTCTAGGTGTGGGGGTCCTGTGGACGGTTTCCGCCTCTGAGTGCCCACAGGGCCACGGAAAGCCCTGCTGGTGGGCTGCGACCTGTCTGGGGAAGACAGATGGAGACCCGGCGCACTGGGGTCATATTGTTGCTGTGCCATGGACAGCTGTAATCTGACTACTACAAAGTCCTCGGTTATGGTCATCTTGATTTTATTTACTCACCCTCATTTCTTCTCTCTCCAATTTCTTTTATTTTCCTTATAATTTTGCAAGGTATTGCTGATTGATACACAATGGACCTTGCAGCAATGACTTTAAACCACGTTTCTTATTATTATTTCAGGTTCTGCTTGTCTGCATATTACTATGTTAACTTGTCACATAGCCATAAACGGGTCTGGCCGCCCATGGTTTCGGCTGACTGCTAACACTTAACGATTTACAGACAGATAGATACCTACACTATACAATCATATTGTAGTGCAAAATGCAGATTAATTTACGTTAAATGCTCTCCAATATTTTGTCGTTCCAAGAGCATACTGGTTACTGTTGGTGTTATTGTTTTGTGTTGGCAAATTGCCGATAATTAGGCAGACCAACCATTTCTGTGCAGTCGGTAGTGTTCACCTGCTTGGCCGTATGGTATTAATGTTTTGAAATTGAATATGAACTTAATTTCCTCTCTGCCTAGTTTTTTTTCACATAGTTGCCTCCCCTCCAGTCTTTTCTCAGTCCCTCTCTCATGGGTTCATATATAGTCAGGGCCGGATTAACATAGGGGCTGATGGAACTGCAGCTCCAGGCCCAGGCCCATGGAATAGGCCCAATTTAAAAGAAGAAAAAGAAAAGGTTTACTTTTTATTATTTTTTCCTCCTGACTGGTATTTTAAGGCACAGCCTGTATTTGAGGCTGCCTGGCCGTGCTGGTATTGCAGTAATACCGGCAATATAAATGCAAATATTTTTCTCAGTATAAACGTAGATTACTCTGCAATGCCAGCACCGGCCAGCAGGGGTCACTGTGTATGGAGAGAGGCAGGGATAGGAAGTTACAGCATATCCCTCCCTGCCTCTCTTGACTCACTGATACACAGGGGAGCAGCTACACAGTACAGAGAGTTCAGACAGCAGCTCCCAGCCTGCAGAGACAGACTACAGCTCAGGGAAGTTAGGGATGAGGGGAAAGGCATCAGGGAGACATGGGGACACTGAGACACTAGGGGACACTGGGAGACGTGGGGACACTGAGACACATGGGGACCCTGAGACACTAGGGGATACTGTGAGACATGGGGACACAGACACATGGGGACGCTGTGAGAAATAGGTAGACACATTGGGACACATGTCTCCCAGTGTTCCCATATGTCTGTGTCCCTATGTCTCCCAGTGTCCACATGTCTCTCAGCCAGTGTCTGTGTCCCCATGTTTCCCAGTGTCCCTATGTCTCCCAGCTAGTGTCTCAGTGTCCCCATGTCTTCCAGTGTCTGCGTCCCCATGTCTCTGTGTCCCTAGTGTCTGTGACCCCATTTCTCCCAGTGTCCCCAAATGTCTGTATCCACAAGTGTCCCCATGTCTCCCAGTGTCCTCAAGTGTCTCAGTGCCCCCATGTGTTCCAGTGTCTCTGTGTCCCCATGTATCCTAGTGACACGGGACACACTGAGACATGGGGACACATGGAGAAATGGGGACACAGACACTGGGAAACTAGGGGACAGGGCGACATGGGGACACTGACACTGTGATGCATAGGGACACTGATGCCAGGCTGGCCTTCCAATTCTTTGGACAGACATACCCCCTTTTTGGACATGTTCGCCCCTTCTGGCAGTTCTGGACATGTGATTAGCATCAGTGGCCTACTCTTTTACCCCGCCCATTGGCTTCCTGCTTCACTGGACACTGCTGTTGGTATGGATTTACTTGAAAGATGAAAGCATAAGTCAGATAAAGAGATTAGCATAGAGTATGTGTTTTCTTCTAGCTGCATCCTTTGAGTTTCCCTCCAATACCAACTCCATCAGATACATGACGCTTGAGAGGTATGACTGTTTTAGTGTTTTTCGTCGATAAGATTCTGTAATTAGGCCCATCATAATTGTCAGCACCAGGCCCAGTGTGCTCTTAATCCGGCCCTGTATATACAGTTGCAAGAAAAAATATGTGAACCCTTTGGAATGATATGGATTTCTGCACAAATTGGTCATAAAATGTGATCTGATCATCATCTAAGTCACAACAATAGACAATCACAGTCTGCTTAAACTAATAACACACAAAGAATGAAATGTTGCCATGTTTTTATTGAACACAGCATGTAAACATTCACAGTGCAGGTGGAAAAAGTATGTGAACCCCTAGACCAATGACATCTCCAAGAGCTAATTGGAGTGAGATGTCAGCCAACTGGAGTCCAATCAATGAGATGAGATTGGAGGTGTTGGTTACAGCATCCCTGCCCTATAAAAAACACACATCAGTTCTGTGTTTGCTTTTCACAAGAAGCATTGCCTGATGTGAATGATGCCTCGCACAAAAGAGCTCTCAGAAGACCTACGATTAAGAATTGTTGACTTGCATAAAGCTGGAAAGGGTTATAAAAGTATCTCCAAAAGCCTTGCTGTTCATCAGTCCATGGTAAGACAAAATGTTCAGCACTGCTGCTACTCGCCCTAGGAGTGGCCGTCCTGTAAAGATGACTGCAAGAGCACAGCACAGACTGCTCAATGAGGTGAAGAAGAATCCTAGAGTGTCAGCTAAAGACTTACAAAAGTCACTGGCAAATGCTAAGATCCCTGTTAGCGAATCTACAATACGTAAAACA